AAAAAAAAAAAAAAAAAAAAAAAAAAAGAAACAACATATTTCTCAATTTCCTCAGTGCCTAGTATGCTGCAAGTTCTCTTCACTGTCAATTCCAGTTCCTACATAAGCACTCAAAAAGCCAGTCACAGACCCGAGAAGGAAGCAAGAGCAAACTCACACCAAACCAGCATTTCTCTGTAGCTGCTTTCTCAGCCACACGAATTCACGGTAGCGGCGCCGCACACAGGAAGTCTTGGCAGTAAAGGCTTTGCTGTTGGTCTGTACATGAGGAGGTACATGAAAAGGGTTTAGTGGAAGAAGACAAGTTCACACGAGCCTCCCTATCATTGCTTTCACTGAGGAGCCATGCCATCAGGCCACAGACCTGATCAGGTCCCCAACTAGAACAAGGTGCCACCAGGCAGCCTGAAAGCAACTCAAAGACATACCTCAAGCTCTCTTTCCTTTCCTCTCTGCCTTTTCTTCTGCCTTGGGTCCACCAGAAACACTCAAAAATAGGTTACACGTCGCTGGGCGCGGTGGCTCACACCTGTAATCCCAGCACTTTGGGAGGCCGAGGCAGGTGGATCACCTGACATCAGGAGTTCGAGACCAGCCTGGCCAACATGATGAAGCCCTGTCTTTACTAATAGGTGGTCGTGGTGGCACACGCCCGTAATCCCAGCTGCTTGGGAGGCTGAGGCAGCAGAATCACTTGCACCTGGGAGGCAGAGTTTGCAGTGAGCCGAGATCACACCATTGCACTCCAGCCTGGGCAACAAGAGCAAAACTCTGTCTCAAAAAAATAAAATAAAATAGGGGCCGGGCATGGTGGCTCACGATCTGTAATCTCAGCACTTAGAGAGGCCGAGTTGGGTGGATCACGAGGTCAGAAGTTCAAGACCAGCCTGGCCAAGATGGTGAAACCCCACCTCTATTAAAAATATAAAAATTGGCCGGGCGTGGTGGCTCAAGCCTGTAATCCCAGCACTTTGGGAGGCCGAGGCGGGTGGATCACGAGGTCAAGAGATCGAGACCATCCTGGTCAACATGGTGAAACCCTGTCTCTACTAAAAATACAAAAAATTAGCTGGGCATGGTGGTGCGTGCCTGTAATCCCGGCTACTCAGGAGGCTGAGGCAGGAGAATTGCCTGAACCCAGGAGGCGGAGGTTGCGGTGAGCCGAGATCACGCCATTGCACTCCAGCCTGGGTAACATGAGTGAAACTCCGTCTCAAAAAAAAAAAAAAAAAAAAAAAAAAAGACTCAATCTCAAAAAAAATAAAAATAAAAATAAAAAATAAAAATTGGGCCAGGCACGGTGGCTCATGCCTGTAATCCCAGCACTTTGGGAGGCCGAGGTCAGCAGATCACGAGGTCAAGAGATCAAGACCATCCTGGCCAACATGGTGAAACCCTGTCTCTACTAAAAATACAAAAAAATTAGCTGGGCATGGTGGCATGGGCCTGTAGTCCCAGTTACCCGGGAGAATTGCTTGAACACGGGAGGCGGAGGTTGCAATGAGCCTAGATCGCACTACTGCACTCCAGCCTGGCGCCTGGCAACAAAGCAAGACTCTGTCTCAAAAAAAAAAAAAAAAATAGGTTTCACCTCAGTACAGCCCCTCAGCCCTGCAGAGCACAGACCCTAATATAGAAGCTTGATGCACTCACATGAAGGAATATCTTATAATCCACATAAGAGTTCCAGGAGCCCTCATTCTGCACTCGGGGGTCCTGAACACGCACTGTAATCACCTCCTGTAGGTAAGAAAAGCTCCTTCAGCTTCAGCTACACAGCAAGGCAGCTCTGATAACACAGGTTGCTAGATTTTTCCACCCAGCACCAACTTTCATTCATTCATTCAGTCATTCCATTCAACAGATTTTTACTGAGTCCCACTACGTGTCAGACACTGTTGTAGGCATTGGGGATAAAGCATGAACAAGAGGCATAAGTCCCTGCCCCCATGAAGCTTACATTCCAGTATATTACAATCAATGGAAAATTTAGTCAGAATGGAACCCCATTTCCTAGGAATGGCTCTGCTATTGATTTCTTTCTCCTGACTTTATTTTGAGCTCATCAGAACCACCAAAGTAATACTGCAGGAAGAACACTACTGAGTAATGATTTGGATCTCTGCATCCTCCTTCCTCCTAAATCCTCTCTCCAACTTTTACCTACCTGTTCTCTGGAGACCACACTCTTACCTCCTGTTCTTGGTTCTCCGACATCCTACACCAAAAGCCCATTTGAAGAAAACATCTGATGAGGGATAGAGGACAGAGGATCAAGGTTAGTAGGCCTCTGTTCTTATCATTCTTTACCAGGGAAAACCCTGAAAGTTTTTAATAGACCCCCTTGGGGAAACTCAGGCAACACTTTTTGTTCTTGTAAAACTTAAGAGGAAAAAAACAAAAATCCCCATTAGCTCAGTGCCAAGCTAAAAAGCCCCGGGGGATTTGCCTCCCTTCTCAGACCAGGCCCTCACGCACTCTCCCCAAAGCGTGTTGGAGTCTACAGAAGTTTGTTACACGCAGCCAGAACAGGCCGGTTCTGATGTAAAACTTTTGTCTTGAAGATTGCAGGCACAACAGGGTCTGGTGAACTCAGATCACAGCTTTGAAATCGAGCCTAACAGCGCCCCCTCCCGGCTGTTTAGAGACAACCAAGTCCTCACAAACACCAATGCTCCTGCATTTCTCACTCTCACTAACAACCAGTCACCTCCCCACAGGTGAATCATAGAGCTAAAGCACTCCAAGAAGCACCTGAGTGGGTTGCCCAGTTGGGACCTTCCCCTTATCCAATCCGTACTCTGGAACCCGAGCCAATTGTTCTAATTATTTCCTCTCCTGACATGCCATCCGGTTTGTACCTCTGCCCAAGCACCCCACAGCTGCACAGGTTGACTCAGGATGCGTTCTGCTCCTTTGTAAAGATTCATTAAAGCCTCAGCCCCTGATTTCCCCCAATGTGGCAGTTTACATGTATAGCAACATCACCCACTCCGACAAGGGGACCATGAAGGCTGCAGCACAGGGTTACTCAAGTCCAGTGGGGCCCATGATGTCACCTTCTGTTAAAATACAACACTAATCTTGTTACTTCTAGAACTATTCCAATAGCATCCACCCTGGCTGCCGCCTCCACCCCCTTCTCTCT